AAAGGGGCTACCCCCACATTTAAGAAAATGCCATAGGTTTCAATGGGCTACATGTTCTCTATCCTTGAACCCGACCAGCTGCCGTCCAGTCCGCAAACGCTAGATACAATAATGTTACCCAACAGAGTAGGTAATTACTGTACTCTATTGTACAAGTACAAATAATTGTACTCTTTACTCTGTTATACAAGTACGAATAAATTACATAGAGAAGTAACATAGATAGGTGTTTAGGAATAATATATGCGCACACATCGCTAGTAATGAACAGTGAGACTATAGTTACAATCTCTGTCTCTGTACTGTGACAGGATTCTCTATGGAGAGAGGCCGTACTGGTACGCACTAGAGTTGAATGACAACTCGCCCAACATCACCCCCATCGTCGACCAGTTTCACATCACCTGCGAGACGGGTCCAGGTAAGCAGGTGTTGTTAGCATCGCCGTGGGTTGTTGTTGTGTAAAACAGTCGTTCACCATCACCAGGCTCTTAGAACGCTTCAATAATAAAATGGCAAACAAAAACAATACAAACAACAAAAATAAATCTCTTAATTTTGTTCGTTTGTGCACGGCGGCGTGTGTTGCGGAAGAGCAGTTGAACGGCATTTACAGGAAATTATTGGCAATAATAGGCGAAAGAGAGTAGAAAAACATTGAGACTTTGATAGTAAATACATTTCGTGTTTATTTACCATCATTTTACTATTGAAACGCTCCAAGTACCTGTGTTCGCCATCACCCGGCCCGCGTCGCCAACGTTACCTGTGAACATGACTGCGCTGAAGCGTGAGTTGGGGGAATATGACATGTATCAGTAGTGTCATAATATAGATGACACCAATATTATGACACTACTGATTATATTGTAATAACAACACATAATGTATATACACACCCGTACGCACGCACGCACTCACGCACACACGCGTACACACACACATGCACACGCACACGCACACATGCATACACACGCACGCACGCACGCACGCGCGCACTGACGCACGCACGCACACACATGCACACACGCGTACACAGACACATACACACGCACACACACACGCACACACACACACACACACACGAGCGCGCGCACGCACGCACGCACACATGCATACGCGCGTACACAGACAGACACACACATACACACACACGCACGCACGCCTCATACATGCACACGAAAGCGGCGACTCCACTCACATCGTAAAAACTCCATATAAATTGTATTAAGTTGATGTAAGTACATATTTTTACATTATTATATATATATATATATATATATATATATATATATACATATACGTATATGACATGATAGATAGGTAGTTGCGTGCTCTCTTATTTTGTCGGCTCTTCGAACGTTACGAAACGCGTGTAGACCTCTATATTAGTGTTGGAAGTGAAGTACACACACACCGCGCGCGTGACAGACAGATCAGTGGCCTCGGTCCCAAATTGAGCATCGGTGCCTCGATCGCTATCTATCGGCCCGTACGTATCGCCGTGAGGTCATTGGGATGCGAATGACCAGTGAACGCCTGGTGCACCCACCCCGGCCTAGTTCGGAGCAGCGGCCAACGCAGACGAGAACCTGCTGCTGCGGCTGCTGGTAGTGGTGCTGCTGCTGCTGCTACTGCTACTGCTGGTGCTGCTGCTGCTGCTGCTGCTGCTGCTGCTGCTGCTGCTATTGCTACTGCTGATGGTGGTGGTGCTGCTGCTGCTGCTGCTACTGCTGATGGTGGTGGTGCTGCTGCTGCTGCTGCTGCTACTGCTAGTACTACTACTACTACTGCTGCTGCTGCTGCTATAACGGCAAACAAACGGATGAACGGACTCGATCCGCTCATTAACATCGGCTGCACTAAGAGTTGCTGTGCGCGTTTTCTCGGTGCGCGGCTAATCTTATCGTAACCAGGGGATGTACCCTCTACCGGAGGTTATAACCGCAGTTAAACAAATACAAACAAGGGTTAACCACTGGTGATTCTTATTTGTTTACCCTAGCTTGTTTTGACACGCCCTTATTCGCCCGATGTTGCACTTCTCATTTTTATCTGTCGGGGTATGAACTGCAGGGAACTGATAACTGATGAAAGCTAACGATTTCTTCCATGCCTCTCGATTTTGATTATACGATAGTACAATAAAAAATCAGTCCGCTCTATCTATCTATAGATATACACAACATATGTGTTCTGTATATCTATGATCTATCGAATTTTCTCGGTGACATCAAATTGTGATCTCTTTTCCTCCCGCAGTGTTGTTTGAACAACACGATCTAGGGATATGAATTAGATAACAGATTAATTCAGCAAATATGTGCGTCATGCTGATCGACTCATGATATTTTATAGTATACGTAGTTATATAATGTGTGTGTAATAAGTAAGTAAGTTCCGACTCGACCTTTTTGCGACTCGGGCACGCATGCCGATCGTGCGTGGCAAGTATTAGTCACCACAAGTCTATACTCAGACTTCATGCTACCGGTTCATGCTACGTACCCGCCTATGCTACTTTTAAACGCTTCGTTCTACTTTTAAACATTTCATTCTACCCACCCATGCTTGCTTTTAAACAGTTCATGCTACCCGTTTATATGGTACTGTTGTGCCGGTTCATATATACACAATGTTTATAAGGCAAGCTTTGCGACAAGTACCTATAAGCAAACATAGCACATGCTACTTCACCGATCGAGACCAATTACCTACCTAGGAACCACTGCCGTGAAATATTGCGCAGTAAGGCACGTTTGCGAGTTCGTGCGTGTTTCAATGCCAAAAGTATATGTGACGTGGGAACTTTGTTACTACACGATACATTCCATCATGTATGTTATAGTGACGGATTTTGTGTGTTGGTCTATCTCATATAAATAGGTAGATATGTCTCTATATATTTCTATGGTCTATCTGTAGGTAGCCCGTCCGGACACGCCATGGTGACAGGTCCAGTGTGGTTCGTACTCGTGTCGGCCTTCCTCTACAAACTGAAGCAGTACTTCTGGCAGGACAAGTGAGTACACGACCTTTCACAGTACATACAATATGTCAAGAGCTAATAATACATTATAACATAATACCAGGAGTGAATAATAATTAATAGATCTAATTATCTATTGATCTAATAAATCTATTATTATTCACTCCTGATAATGCATCATGCATGTATTATAAGCTCTTGAATATATATATATATATATGTCATTAAAGTTACACAGCTATATCTTTATTACTGTACTACCGGTATATCAAAGCCTATCAACGCAGTGGCGGGAGGGCGCACATGATGCGGTTGCCAGTGAGTTTATCAGAAGAATACCCGGCTACAGTACACGTCAGTTGAGCGCTGTCGCTCTGCGGCACTTGTTATTGAAAGCATACCTACCTCTTAACCTAAGAATAGTGATTAGGTGATCGATCAATCAATCGATTATTGATTGGTAATTGCCTATGTTATTGTGATATTTTCAGGAACAAACACCCGAAATCGCTGGTGGTGCTCATTTGGTCTGCATTCACAATCCTGCTTATTCTAGTCTGCATCTCACGTCTTCATATTGCTGCTCATTTCCCACACCAGGTCATTGCCGGGACAGTCTGTGGTAAGTGATTGGTTTTTTGCAGTCAAGCACCCAACCAGTAATAAATCCAAGCTTAATCGTGAACTATAAACACATCCGGAAGAGGTTGAAGACAAATCTAATAACTACTCAGTGATTTTATACTTGGATAAATCTGTATTAGCAAGTCTTACTTTCAGTTACCGAAACTGTTCCTACAATTTAATCGCATTGATTTATCATAAAATATAATTACTAGAACATATCAACATTATTAGAAAATCCGATGCTCTTATTTCAAATCGAGGAACTCTCGTAATATATAACGCCATTTCGATTCATTTGTAACATCTCTCCGAGCCCTGGCACGAAACCCGCGCGTCGTTTCCCCATCCCCACCCTGGAGCATCGACAGAAAGAAGCCCAGCGACGATTCTTTTAGACCTTTTTTGACGATACGTCCTTACGTCCGCAGGTTGGATCCTGGCCTTTTTAGCAGATTTTTTTAATAATAAATTTTTATATTTCATTAGTGTACGTCGGCAGGTCTGATCCTAGCCTTTTTAGCAGATGTTTTTTAAATAATAAATTTTTATATTTTATTTGCGTGCATCCGCAGGTCTGATCCTGGCCGGTGTCTTCACGCGTCTCTCCCTGTGCGACATCCAGCTTCGCTACTACCTTCTCATCACCGTCAGCATGCTCTTCGGTGGCTATCTCACCTACTTCACGCTGCTCTCCATGGGACACGACCCGCACTGGTCCGTCAAGAAGGCGCTGAAGTGGTGCACGAACCCGGACTGGGTGCACATGAACACGGTGCCGTTCCACACGCTCGCGCGCCTCACAGGCGCCATCTTGGGTCTAGGGTTGGGCCTGCGCTCGACGCGCTACTTCTCGCCGATACGCACCAAGCATCCGTTCGAGGTGAAGCTGCTCGCGGCGACGCTCGCCGTGACGATGTACAACTACGTCGAGTCGGTGCGGCTGCCGCACGACCACCTCGAGCTGTTCTACGCGATCGCCTTCGTCAAGAACCTGCTGCTGCCGTTCGTCACCGTGGCCGTCGTGCCGCACGTCGCGTGGTTCGCGATCCGGCGGCTGCACATGCTCCCCCTGCTCGCGCACCACCGCGCCGCCAGGGAGCGCTGCAAGCACGAGGGCAAGGTGCAGCGCCGCGCCGACTAGACTGCTCTCTTGTCAACGCAGGGATGAACGAACACAGGCGACGCAGAGACCGCTCTCTTGTCGATGGACGGACGGACGAACGAACAGACAGGCGACGCAGAAACCGCTCTCTTGTCGACGGACGCACGGACGACGCAGAGACCGCTCTCTTGTCGACGGACGGACGGACGACGCAGAGACCGCTCTCTTGTCGACGCACGGACGAACGACACAGAGACCGCTCTCTT